AAGGTATCCTAAGAGATAGGTTACTTATACTGCAATATTTTTAAAGTATCCTTTATTTAGTAAATATTTTTCAGAAATGACTATATGGATGCCATGAAGCATTGGTGCAACAAATACATCCTAACCAACCTGTAACTGGAAAAAAAAAAAAAAAAAAAGGAAGAAAGCAATAAATTACTTGGAAAGGCTGAAGTATCTACACAAGAGAGATATGATGCAGGTAAGAATGTCTATATGAAACTAACAGAGTAACTGGAACTGCACAGGTCCCACAGTTACAAGGGAGGTTTATTAAATTGAAAATGAGAGAGATATTAGTAATTTCTCAGTGTTTATTAGTATGAGCTGTAGTAAATTACTTAGCACATTTCTGATTAGCTGCACCTCACAAAAGTTATGGCTGCAGCAAATTATTTCAGTAGGTATTCTTAAAAGCAACTTTACTCCAAAGAACGAGAAATCATAAACAAATCAGTATTTTCACCATAGCTGTCTGAAGTACAGATAAAAGTCCTGTAATTGCATCTAGATACGAATACAGACATCTGGATGTGAATATAATCACATCTAGATAGAATAACATCTAGATTAACGTAAGTACTATGAAAACTATGACATGGAAAGTAGCAACAGAAACCAAACCCAGACTGATACAAGAATACTCTTTAAATTCAATCCTTTGCTTTCTTCAAGCTTCAGTCTCTGAAAAGATTGTCTAGGTCACAACATTAATTAAATACACCAACAATATTCATTACCGGTCATAATGCAGTGTTTTATTTCAGGTATTTACTAGTACATCTAATATACTTAAAAAATTATTATATATCTTTTTACATTTTGATCCTATTAAACTGAGTGGGAGCCTTTCTATACCCTGCCTTAGTTCTGAATGGGATTCACAGACTCTCCAATGAAAGAATTCAAGTAAAAGCAATACAAATAATGAAAGGGTTTATGCAGTAAATATATTAAATATATAAAAGCTAAATGAGCTAAAGTTAGGCACAGGTCTGGTTTAGTATGCTGACTTTGGCAAAATGAAAGCTATCTTCAAGAATAAGGAGCCAGAATTCTCTCTGTTCTTCTTCCCAGCTGACAGAATTTACAGCTCTGTGAGAAAAGTTCAGTTCCCACGGGCAATTTAGCCCCTGTTCCCTTGCTCAGAACACTAGCTGGTCTGCAAATTAAAACAACATTTTCTACTACAGCGTATATACCCCACTAAGTCTACATTGGCACTAGATGGTAGAATCACTTTGGGGAAAATTACTAAAGACTACTGGGACAATCACATACTTGTTGATAACACTTGCTGGTCTTGGAGCAAAAGCCTTTTGTACCACTAACTAAAACTTTCAATCTTATTGAAACATAAAGGAGAAACTACACTGCTCACTTACAGTAATACAGGCAGTATTTCTAATGTTACAAGATATTGTTAAAAAAATAAAAACCAATTACCTCTTTCACATAAACCACGAAAGAAAACACGTTGCGTGCTTTCAATTGCATCTATTTTCTAACTGGTTTGGTTTGAGACCAGTTTCCAAGCATTAAGAAACTGCCATCTCTGAGCACCAAACCAGAAAGGTTTTCTGGTCAGCATTTCTGTTCTTACTCTATCTGAGAGAAGATAAATTTATATACATGTACTGAAGACATCATAGCCCAATTCGTAAGAAAGAGAATTGAAAAATTTTTAGTAAGCATACCAAGAATTAGCTTATTGTTCAACAACATTGTGAAATAAAAAGTAAGAATAAGGTAAGAATTAAAAACAATAAGTGTTCCTAATAAAAGTCTTTGCATCATCCTTTAGATGATTCATACAGTTTTAGTGATTGCCATCTAATTTGCCGAGGTCCCTCTGCAGGGCCCCCCTGCCTTCAAGAGTCAATAGCTCCTCCCAGTTTTGTATCATCTGCAGACTTGCTTAGTATCCCTTCCAGTCCTGAGTCCAAGACATTTATGAAAATGTTGAAGAGCACAGGACTGAGGATGGAGCCATGTGGAACCCCACTAATGACAGGTCACCAGTCTGCTATCACCCCATTCACTGTAATCCTTTGTGCCCACCTGTGATCCAGCTGCTCACACATCACATGATGTGTTTATCCAGCTGTGTGCTGGATATTTTACCCAGAAGGATCCTGTAAGAGACAGTATCAAAAGCTTTACTGAAATCCAAAATGATAACATCAACTGGCTTCCATTAATCAACTAGGTGGGTTACCCTGCCATAAAAGGAAAATCAAAGTCCTGATAAGCAGACTTTACCCTTTACAAAACCATGCTGGTTGTGACTGAGGACTGTGTTGTCTTTCAGATGTTTTCAATAACTACCAGAATAATCTTCTCCATAACCTTATCAGGCACTGAAGTCAGACTGACAAGCCTGTAGTGTCCAGGGTCATCCTTCTAGAGCTTTTTGAAAACTGTGACAATGTCAGCCAACTTCCAGTCAACTGGGACCTCTCCAGATTCCCAAGATCCTTCAGTTATAGTCAAGAGAGATCTCATTATCATAAATACCCTTAAGAGTTAATTCACAGCACTTTCATTATTTCGGTCATTGCCCACAGCTGAGAAAAACTAAAATTATAAGCTATCATGCTATGAAGTTTGAAGCATACCAGGATATTTCATTTTTACAGAGAAACTTCCATTAAGAAAAAATACAAGTGACCAGTTTGTATTTATTTATTGAGCATCATTTAAGGACTGTTAGAGCCTTTTAACCTTCTCCTACCAAGACAGTACCAGCTTCTTCTTTGAATAAAATGATATAAAAGTATAAAATTGAGGAGAAGATTAAATTGCCAGTACATGGCTGTTGTGATAAACACCAGCGCAGCACTGAATAACATCTTTAAGAGTACATGTGAGAAACAGTCCTGCTGAGGGCCAGGGAAGGGGAGAAGTAAGAGAGAAGGTGCTCCAGATAATGCAGCAGGAGATCCTCTGCAGGAATGGAGGAAAACAATGGTTTAGCAGGCTCTCGCCCTCCATTTTGTGCCATTGGTGAGCAGATGTGCCCCTGCAGCCCTTAAGCCACACTGGAGGCAGGTAATGCTTTAACCCCAGGCAGAAACAAAGCGCCGTGCAGGGCCTCACTCTCCCCACCAGCTTGCTGGGGGAGAGAATTGGAGGAGTAAAGATGGGAAACCTTGTGGCTTAAGATAAAAGCCAATTTATTAGGGATATCAAAAGCTATACATGCAAGCAAAGCTGGCAACACCATCACCATACAGCCATTGTGACATCACTGGTGAGGTCAGCTCTGTAAAGTGCTTGCATCACAAAGGGCTCCTCCCTGGTACCCCTATAAAAGCAGGGCAGCTGCTCACAGCACTCAGCGAGAACCACCATGGCTGGTTACAATCGGAGGGCCAGACGCCGCAGGAGCGGGAGCCGGAGCCGGAGCCGCAGGCGCCTGCGGAAAACGCGGCGCACTGGCCACAGCCGCTCTCGCCGCCGCAGCACGCGGCCAAAGGCCCAACTTGCAACACATGGCCCCCCAGTCATCAAGCGCCGGCCCCCCAAGAGGCACAGGCGCCGTGAAGAGGAGGAGGAGCCGGACGTGCTGGAAGACGTGGGAGGGCTCAGTGAGCCAGTAGATGGCTTTGATATTTAGAGCCAGAGCCCCTGAGATGACCAGCTGCCACACGGGCCTGGCTGCAAAAATAAAGCATAGCAAGCTTTCATGATGAGCTTGTGTGTCTCCGATGCATTGCGCCCTAGGAGTAGATCAGTCGGTGTCCATTTATGTTTCAGGGGTGTGGGTGGACACATGCCAGTGTGTCCATGCCCAACAGCAGGATGTCTGTGCCGAGGCATGATGTTCCTGTGTGTGATCTGTATGTCTGAGGATGCTCATGCACGGCAGTGTATATCCAGGGTTGTCTTTGTTTGGGATGAGGTGTGATTGTGTCTGAAGCCCAGCGTCTGTGGAGAGTGCATACGACCCAGGACACACAGTTAACCTCTGCTCCTGGCAGTGGTCCCCTGGGCTCCCTTTTTGGGTCCCTCTTATTGCAGGGTCCCTAAGAGCTAAGCAGAGCCTACAGAGAGAAGAATCCTCAGTGCCTCATGCCCCCTCCTGTAGCACTGCTGGAGATTCGAGGGTAAAGGCCAGACAAAGCAGTGAAAGTTGCTTTGCCCATCCAACTCCTGACTCTCACCCTGGCCATCCCACCACTCCCATCAGGATTATCACGTTGCCCTTCACACATCTCCCTTTAGACAGAGTCCCTGATCCTGCAACATGCTTCTCAGTACTGCTGTGCTTACTCCTGCCTCCCCCTGGTTCTCTGTGCCTATATTGGGCATAGGTTGGTGAGGGCTTCAGAGCGGGGAGACAGTGTGGAAAGCATCTGGGAGAAGATGCCTCCAGTTGCCTCATGTCTGCCAGGGATAGTGCCAGCCAGGTCCAAGAAAGATTTGCCACTGGCCAAGGCTGAGCCCATTCACAAAGATAATAGTGCCTCAGGGATAAAGTCTTTGGGAATACATTCGAGAAACAGTCCTGGAGAGGGCAAGGAAGGGGAGAAAGAAGAGAGGAGGTGCTCCAAACAATGCAGCAAGAGATCCTCTGCAGAAATGGAGGAAAACAATGGTTTAGCAGGCTCTCGCCCTCCATTTTGTGCCATTGGTGAGCAGATGTGCCCCTGCAGCCCTTAAGCCACACTGGAGGCAGGTAATGCTTTAACCCCAGGCAGAAACAAAGCGCCGTGCAGGGCCTCACTCTCCCCACCAGCTTGCTGGGGGAGAGAATTGGAGGAGTAAAGATGGGAAACCTTGTGGCTTAAGATAAAAGCCAATTTATTAGGGATATCAAAAGCTATACATGCAAGCAAAGCTGGCAACACCATCACCATACAGCCATTGTGACATCACTGGTGAGGTCAGCTCTGTAAAGTGCTTGCATCACAAAGGGCTCTCCCTTGGTACCCCTATAAAAGCAGGGCAGCTGCTCACAGCACTCAGCGAGAACCACCATGGCTGGTTACAATCGGAGGGCCAGACGCCGCAAGAGCAGGAGCAGGAGCCGGAGCCGGAGCCGCAGGCGCCTGCGGAAAACGCGGCGCACTGGCCACAGCCGCTCTCGCCGCCGCAGCACGCGGCGAAGGCGCCGAGTGGCAAGACGTGGCGCCTCAGCCATCAAGCGCCGGCCCCTCAGGAGGTACGGGCACCATGTAGAGGAGGAGCCGGACCTGCTGGAAGACTTGGGAGAGTTCAGTGAGCCGGTAGATGACTTCGAGTTTTAGAGCCAGAGCCCCTGAGATGACCAGCTGCCACACGGGCCTGGCTGCAACAATAAAGCATAGCAAGCTTTCATGATGAGCTTGTGTGTCTCCGATGCATTGCGCCCTAGCAGTAGATCAGTCGGTGTCCATTTATGTTTCAGGGGTGTGGGTGGCTTGTGTCTCCATGCCCATGCCTAACAGCTACGGGTGGTACAGGGTGTGTGAGCGTTTAGAGTAACAGGCCATGGACACATTCACACCTCTTCCTGGACACTCCTGATTTTTATCTCAAGCTACAAGTTTTCTCAGTTTTAGTCTTCTGATTCGCTCCCCCAGCAAGCTACCCTGAAACTCCCAGCAGCACTGTGGCACAAAGCACCAAATGTTATTCTCTGTGTGGGCTCTGCTCAGCCCTTAGGGACTTTGCAAAAAGAGGGACTCAAAAATTGACCCCAGGGGACCAGACAAAACAGCATGGACCTCTGTGTGGGCTTGGTCACATGAACTGCCTAATAGTGAGATATTACATGTATTGTTTATATTCATTTATTCATCCCTGAGCACCTTCAGAACTCCTGGCTGAATACCATCCAGGCCTAGGCATTTTTACGAGTATGTTTTATAAAATTTATGTATATTTTTACAATAATTTGTATGTGTATTAGCAGCTATGTAATTTAGTACAAATGTTTCTCCCCTTAAATCTCCTCAGATGTCAGTCTAGCAGTGGTATTCCACTTAAATATGCAGAAAGTAGTTTACTAATTAAACATTCCATAGGTTATATAACTTATAAAACTTTGCCTACATTTAAAAAGCAATTGGAAGGATTAATGGAAGAAAATTCTGTCAGAGGCTATGAAATATAAAGACTTCAAACCCAGGAATACTTGGGCGTATCCTCTGAGGAAGTATCATTACACGTTTGACCTGATCAAACAGTGCTTCAGCATTCACTGTTGGCCATTGTTGGGCATTCTTTTGTAATTATATCATAGTATGAGAAGCACAAAGCTCCATCTTTTGACTGATAAAATGTCAGACACTCAGAAACACCCATAAGTGAGGGCCAATTCACAGTATATAAAAGAAACATTTATTTATTTATTTCCTTTCTGTAGCAAAGAACGATGTCTTTATCAGCTTGCTACATTAAATCAGCCCTGGTCAGACATGCACTTCAATAGATGCGAAGTTACCACGGCGCTGATGGACAAGTATCCTCTGCATACAAGCAATGGCTTTAATTTGAAGTTTGCTGAGCTCAAAATACTCTCTGATGAGTCAGTGAAGTACAGAGACTGAACTTGGAATTTAGTCTTCTGGGGATCTTGAAGATGTGATGTAAAGTGCACTGCTGTATGTTATGCTGCATAAGCAGAAGCAAAGCTGTCTGGATGAAAACGTTCAGTACAAAAATACACTTGCAGGCTCAAGAAAAGAAATAAATATGAAGGATGGGAGGAGTGAACAATCCAACAACAAAGAAAATTGCTAGGAATAAAGAAAAGTGCTGTTTAGCATTTCAAAAGATGTCTTTCTTATATATGTTCACAGTGTTCCAAATCCGTCAACAAAACAGAAATCCTCAAGCTAGAGTAGTAGCTGGCTTATTTCAAAGGAGATCACCCTGATGGATGGTAATATATAGAGCTAGTATGTCAGTGTGAGCTAATCTAAAGCTATAGGGCTGATCTGTCAATTCTAACAAAGATAAATACAGCTTCTGCCTCAGAGTGTTTCACAATGCCAGGCACTGGTGCCACTGGTTTCCCCAACATGATGGATTTTATGGTCAGGTGTGGTGACATCTCATGACCTAAATAGCTTTCAGAGAACAGCTGGTTTGTTTTGAATGATGATGGATTATACTCCAGAAGTCCCTGTGAAAAATGATGTCTCATGCTTGCAAGTATTGCACAGACATGGATAAGTACCAGACAGCTCTTGGACTTGGTAAACATCCTTATGTCTTTATTGCAAGTTTCTGACCATATTTTTCTCATGCTTTATAACTCTCTCCTTGGTTTCTCAATCATCCTACATAAATTGATAATCACATCCTCCCCAGTACATCCTTGCAGGGTTACAAACGGAGATGTGAAGAAGACACTGAAGTCAGAAATACTGCTAAATGAAGGTACCAAGCAATATCTGATTTCAGCTACATATCATGAATTTTAGCCATAGCAGCAACAGTGACTGCAAACAAAACTCTTACTTTCTTGTGGTATATCACACAGCAGAATGCTGGCAGCAGGGGAGACAAGGGAAGCACCCACAAGCAATGCCTAATGGAGTAGACAAGCACCACCAACAGCAAGAAAATAAACAAAATTCCAAAATGTTCATTCCATCTCTTTGCTATACTATGGCAAAGTCCATTTTTAGTGTAATAGCCAAAGGATTTAAAAAATGCTTCAGTACTTAAAGAACATGGTTTCACTAAAGAAGTTACTGTATCACAAGCAATGACCTCTTTCCTGTTTGAAATACATTGAATACCGCAGTTCTTCAGAAAGTGAGGGACTGTTTGTGGGCACAAGATGAATCTAGGTGAGCATCAAACAAGCTTTTCATGCACCAATTTTTGGAATGCCTCCCTGTGACCTGCAGTACCCAAGCTGCTCCAGTCCTACCTCAGCCCCTCACATCTGCATCCGGATTGTTGTTGTAGTATCATAGAATCATAGAATCATCACAGAATCCTAGAATCCTAGAACCATAGAATCATAATAGAATCATAGAATCGGCCTGGGTTGGAAGGGACCTTAAACATCATCTAGTTCCAGCCCCTCTGCCCTGGGCAGGGATACCTTTCACTAGACCAGTACTGAATATCTATTGAACACAACTCAGACTGTGCCAGACCCTTCTCCCAGGATTCATGTCCATACCCAAACTGATTTCTGCAAATGAAAGATCCATGTTACCAGAGCCATTTCAAGCTCCTTAATAAACTAGCTTGAAACAGAGCTGAAACCAAAGCCTACCATTGTGATACAGACAAAACTGCAAAAGAAGTCACTGAGAAGAATTCTAAAGCAATGATTTCCTGTCTAGATATTATGACTCCTAGTTTCTACTATTTTGTTTTTTGGAGTGTGAGTGTTTTACAGGACTGGAAGTAAAGGCACAAGATAATCTGCTTTCTGTTGAATTAATAACCCTGCAGCCTGGAATCTTATCACTGGAATCAGAAACACAGGGAATACTGGAAGTCAATTTTTAAACTCAGTCACATACCAACCAGTAATCATATATACAACTCTCGCTGGGAATATCCAAATTCAGCCACGGCCACACTTCAGCTTCAGGCTAATCAACACTACTCCAATCAACCCTGCAACTCTGCTGCAATGCAGAAAGTATCAGATCCATCAGCACCAGAGACATTTGACAGGACATACAGACAAAACAAGTCCTAACCCAAATCTTCACCAAAGAGGCAGTTCCTGTGACATAGCTCCAATTAGCAATTTACATGTACTGCAATATCAGACAGACTCATTTCGTCTTAATTTGTTTAAATAAATACAGTCCTACCATCGAGTAAAGGTCTCACTGAGAGCTGATTATGATCACTTGTTCTTGTTCAGCGTAACAACCAAAGCCTTCCTTGATATCTGCTCCCTCTGTACACATCAAAACTGTGTTTAAAAAATTCCCAAATCAGGCCATGGGAGCATATCTATGCCTAGGGAACTTTTCACAGGAAACAAATACAGTAAATCAAGCCAGTAAATTTATACTAAAGATGCAAAGATAAGTGGTTTGTTTTTGTTTTTTTTTTCACAACCTGACATTTAAAAACAGTTCCAGAAACTTTCAGGATTTGTTTCCTTAAGGGATGGGGAGTGTTTTACAGTCAAACTCCTCTTTAGCAGCTCATGAAAACTGCAAGAGAAAAAAAAAACACAAAGCCATTCACTTTTATTATAAGAAGAACTCTCACTGCAGGATGTTTAATATATATTGAAATCCTGATAAATCATCCTCTGTGCATGAAGAATAAGGGCAATTTCAAGAGTTTCCTCCAATTTAACTATAAAGAAAGAAAGGGGGTAGGGGAAGGGGGAAGTGAGAAAATATATGTTTGTTGCTTGCCTTTCTAAGACACTTAGAAAAAAAAAGATAAAAGTCAGTTTCTCAGTTGCCAGTGTGCAAGGTATTACAGAAAATCCAATGTATCTGATGACAGAAGGGGCAGAAGCCTAATCCTGCCTTATTCAAAATGCATAGGTTATTTGAGCCTAAGAGAAATTTCCTCAAGCTATTTCCACTGCAACATCCAAGAGATTCAGTAAGCACTTCTTATTTTATTGATAATGTTTGTCCCTGCCCAGAACTTGTGTATAGCTTTATTAATCTGAAAGACTCAGTAAGTGGTTGTCATGCTCTAAGGTTTCCTTAAACAGACTGATACCAACAGAGCTTTCTAACATTCTTTGTTAACAGAATGGCAACTTATGTCACTTCAGCAAGAGACTTCTGCTGTACTTTATATATTATGTTGCATTAAAAAAAGAAGCAAGCAGAAAGTTTGTAAGGATATTTGGAGAGGCTTCTAGCTTGCTGATGTTCAAATTCCCCAAATCATTATGATTCCTGGACCACATGCAGAGACAAGGGAAAACAGAAGATGAGCTGAAGAAAGCAAAAATTAGCTTCAGCAATGCAGGCAGATGTCTAATGGGAAATATGTCTTCCTGAAAGGGTAGTGGAAGTCCCATGGAAGTGAAAATCAAATTTACTCAAAGATCAGCCTCAGGACTGTATTTTTTTTAGACACATTAGTAATTCAGGCCCAATGAGGAGGAAGAATTATCTATGTCTATTTAATCTCAGCATAACTATGAGTTACTGATGCAACATGAACATTAAAGATTCAAACATGATTCTGAGAGGTTTCAGGTAAATATAAAAAACAAATAGGCGAGTAAAAATGTCACTATGATCTCAAATATGATGCAGTTGCTGTGCAGGTCCTCTGACTATTAACTCTGAAGTTATAAACTGAG